GAGGCTCAGCAATATGTCACGCTTAGCTGCATTTGCATATTTCTCACACAAGAAGCCACGATTGTAGACATAGCCCGGTAGTGTGAAATTTTCCCAGGGCATTGTAGCTTGTAAGGTCCGGTGCTATTCCTTAGGATGAGGCCCCATACTAGAAGAAAAATAACTCAGATACCAAAAATGTACCATTTAGTAGGCTCAAAGATGGGCCATATGGTAACTTCTGTACTCTTGCTACTGACTCTAAGAGGAAGGATGGTCCTGTGCTTAAGGTATTGGCCCAGGCTGTAGGAGCTAGGGGTTCACTTAAGAGTCTCAGTGGGTTGGTAGAGCTGGACCTTAGCCTCTCTGTGCCTCAGTTTCCTGTTTGTAAACTGTTTCCATAGCTCCGAGGGGTGTAGGTACCTAAAATGTCTATGTAGCTACAAGCAATATAATGAGGCTGCCCAGGAGGATGGATCCTGCCTCTGGTGTGGTAAAGATAAAGTGTGTGTGTGTGGGGGGGGAGAAGTGGGGAGATGCTCTAGCACAGTGTTGGGCACCCTGGGGCCCACCCGTGGCTCATCAGAGTAAGCTGCTAGTGGGTTGCCAGACAGGATGTTTACCTTTGTGTTCCTAGACAACAGGAGCCGTAAGGAAAGCGACTGTCAGGAAATCATAGAATCCTAGGACTGGAAGGGACCTCGAGAGGACATCGAGTCCAGTCCCCTGCCCTCATGGCAGGACCAAATACTGTCTAGATCATCCCTGATAGACAGTTATCTAATCTACTCTTAAATATTTCCACAGATGGAGATTCCACAACCTCTCTGGGCAATTTATTCCAGTGTTTGACCACCCTGACAGTTAGGAACTTTTTCCTAATCTAAACATCCCTTGCTGCAATTTAAGCCCATTGCTTCTTGTCCTATCCTCAGAGGCCAAGATGAACAAGTTTTCTCCCTCCTCCTTGTGACACCCTTTTAGACACCTGAAAACGGCTATCATGTCCCCCCTCAATCTTCTCTTTTCTAAACTAAACAAACCCAATTCTTTCAGCCGTCCTTCATAGGTCGTGTTCTCGAGACCTTTAATCATTCTCGTTGCTCTTCTCTGGACCCTCTCCAATTTCTCCACATCCTTCTTGAATTGCGCTGCTCAGAACTGGACACAATACTCCAACTGAGGCCTAACCAGCGCAGAGTAGAGCAGAAGAATGACTTCTCATGTCTTGCTCACCACACACCTGTTAATGCATCCCAGAATCATGTTTGCTTTTTTTGCAACAGCATCACGCTGTTGACTCATATTCAGCGTGTGGTCCACTGTGACCTCTAGATCCCTTTCTGCCGTACTCCTTCCTAGACAGTCGCTTCCCATTCTGGGTCCGGGCTCCATGCTGCTTCCTGCAGCTCCCGTTGGCTGGGAATGGCAAACTGTGGCCCCCAGGAGCTGAGGGTTGTTGTACCTGCAGACACCAGGAAACCAACCTCTCTGATGGCCTGGCAGCAGCTAAGCCTGACGACGGGCGTGCGGCCTGCAGGTTACCGACAACGGCTCGAGCTCATTATATACTCTGAAGAGACACTGTGCTTTGGCTGTGCTGAATGTTTCCTCACCACCTTCAGAGGGGTGACCAAGTTAGTCTGTAACAGGAAAAACTTAAAACACAACAAATAGTCTAGTGGCACCGTAAAGACTAACAAAAAATGTAGCTGGTGTCATGAGCTTTCATGTGTACAACTTGCTTCTTCAGCTGACCGGAGTGAAGTGTGTTGTTCCCACAAAAGCTCATGATATCAGCTACATGTTTTCTTAGTCTAGTAGCACCTTAAAGACTATTTGTTGTTTTTCAAGTATTGCCTCACCAGTTATCAGCAATTCCATGCAAAGCAAATCCATGTGGCTCTTTGTCCTACACACTGAAATTCATTCATTATTCCCAGGATTTAATCTGCCTTTCAATTCCCTCCCCTCCCCACATCCTGCAGGGAGGGAGAGCAGAGCATGGTAACCCAAGGTGGCAGGATGTGTTTAAGAGCAGAACCCTGAGGTAAAGGAAAAGCTGAGCCTACATGCTTCATTTGGAGAGGGCCAGAAGATGTTTCATAGGATGCGCTGTGCCAGGCTAGTAGAAGGGCTGAGGCCCTTGTGGGCCGGGCCAGGATGCAAGGAAGTAGGGATTTATAGGATCCTCTCTTTTCCCCCACAGCCCCCCCCTTTGGTACTCTGCAGGCCTCTGATTCCATAAGGAGTTGTCAGCTTGTGTAACTCTCTGATGAGCAAATCATGATTAATGTGGGCAGTTTTCGCCAGCTAAGGTGACCATATTTCCCTATGCTGAATGTGGGACAGCGGGTAAAATTACTCATATTAAATCGAGATGAGTGGCAATCAATCAGAACGATGCAGTACAAACATTCAAATTAACATCAACCTGACAGCGCCCCCATTAAAAAAGAAATACTGCCTCACTGGAGGCGTTTATCTTCTTATCTTTAAAGCTTTAGCAGTGACACTGTGAGGGGTGACACATACACGCCTACCCCTGCCCCACACGCACAGGAAGAGGGGTCTCTCTCGTTCAATCACACCCTCGCTCATCCACTCCTCTGGGTGGGTAGGGGGTGCCCAACCTACCTGACCCTCCCTGGCCAGCGCGCTCTGCCCTCCATGCCTGACTAGGCCCCTGGATGACCCCACCTCTCCTAGTACCAGGTGCCACACCTCCCCAAGGCAACACATGAGAGGGGCGCATGCAGGGTCACATATCCCCCCTCTTCTGTCAGGGGTCACAGCAGACTGTGCTAGCAGCAGCCTTTTGGCACCATGCGGGAGGAAAGGGATGGGCAGTGCTTCCAGCCACAGGGGAGGAGGCGGGGGAAAGGGCTGCTGCAGCCTATGTCTTCGTAGTGCTCATCTCTTCTTACATCCCCCTCCCCCTGTGGCTAGAAGCGGCTTGTTCCTTCCTGCCCACAGTGTCAAACTCCTCCAGGCTGCTGATGGCCAATCCAATCACACCCATAACCCAGCCAATTCCCCTGCACCCCACTTCCCCCAGCTACAGCCTGGGCAGGAAGGGGGTTCAGCCTTAAGGATGCGTTTGTGCCAGGCCTAGGGAACCTGGCTGCAGTGAGCTTGGGCAGAGAGCTGGCTTAGCAGGGGAGGGTGCCTAAGGAACAGAGCAGTGCGGTGCCCCCTGAGAGCAGCCCCCAGGGCACATGGGCGGGTGACTGTATGGAGGGCTCCTAAGCAGCTTTGGGGCATGAACAGGCTGGCACTTGTGCCTCCTCCCCCCCCCCATGTTAGAGCTTAACCGGAACCTGGCTGCAGTGAGCTTGGGCAGAGAGCTGGCTTAGCAGGGGAGGGTGCCTAAGGAACAGAGCAGTGCGGTGCCCCCTGAGAGCAGCCCCCAGGGCACATGGGCGGGTGACTGTATGGAGGGCTCCTAAGCAGCTTTGGGGCATGAACAGGCTGGCACTTGTGCCTCCTCCCCCCCCCCATGTTAGAGCTTAACC